CCACAAGACAAACTATAGGAAACAGGTCAATCAAAACATGACATTTTCACATACACAACTGCAGCTAGTCTAACAAACTGTCATAGCTTAATGGAAGAAATAATGAATGTTTTCCGAAGAACCGAAATATTTACGTTACTTTGATTTGTGGCAAAATAGCCATTATCTCTTCTCATTATGCCTAAAGTAATATTTGCTTGAACGAACATTTCAGTTGCTCTCAAGCAAACATCTCTGCAGCTGTGTTATTTTACTTTTAGCCTTAAACTTTATGTATAAGTAATAATGTTTCGTAACAAGTTTATAGGATGGTGATTTAATCAGTAGTGATCGGTCATTTTCCTTTAACTCGTTGATGCTTTCAAAGCGCATAAACCAAATTAAAATATTAAGCCGTGACATTGCATCGTATTATATCAGATGTCTATAATTATACAGTCTATACTCGGCGCCCCTATGTAGCTTTCCGAAAACAATTTAGGTCACTTTTTCCTGAATTGACGTTCTCGTGATAGTCCTTTGACGAAACAAAGGGGGTTGGAATGGGGGTTAGAATATGGGTTCGATTGGGGCTTCGAATGGCAAGTCATGTTGTCCCCTAGTGCCCGCAGGAGGTGAAGATGGCGGCCGAGGGTGCTAATCTCTAATGGGGCACGTACGGGTTTTTTCCATAACATTGTCGACAAAATGTCGTATTTAAAATACTAGTAGTTCGGCAGAAACTGAAAAAAAGACTCAAATAATATAAAGTATAATTGCTGACCTTCCAAATGTGCAGGATGGTATTGTGTATTAATAAAGAGTGTTGTAGAGGCATTTTGATACAATAAACACAACGCTGCATGTTTGCTACAGACCAACACATGCAGTTATAGGACTTCGGTTTGTTAATTATTTAACATTTAATATTTGATTATAATTGGATTTGATTGAAAATTAATATAAATTGAAGTGATAAGACTAAGCATTATTTTATTAACACTGCATGTTTATATATACATTTTGAGTCGTTTTACTCTCACAGCCTGTTGCATTTAATTATATGGTACCATCTTGCAAAACAGTGTAACAGCCTGCAGCCAGACAGTATTTTGAAAAATCAAATTTCCGGCAGAATTACTTCGAATGAAATTAGCTAGCTGTTTTTATTTCATTTCACCAAATAAAAGGGTTGTAACATAAAAAGATTTTGACCCCAATTACTGTTTACATTTACCCTAGAAATTAGAATAATACAACAAAAACGTTTCACAAATTCCTGAAGAGAAACAGCCGCTGCCTTGCCGCTGCCATGATTCGCAACCGCAAAGCACTCGCAATGTTCCTATGCTATAGTCATTGCACTTACGAGGATCACTCGCCGCCTGAACGCTTAAGCCTAAAGCCGGTTTTCCACTAGGCTGAATTTTGCGCGCGGAGCGGAATTTTTCTTTGTCTTGGGTGGAACTAATTAGAAAAGACATAGAAAAATTCCGCTCCGCGCGCAAAACTCCGCCTAGTGGAAAACCGGCTTAAAGGCTAGTTTCCACTCAGGAAAATTATCCGTGGATTGGAACGGACAAGAACATTTTTCTTTGTGTTAAAGTCATTAGTTCCAACCCAAAGCTCACAAAACAAAGAAAAATTTTCTTGTCCGTTCCAATCCACGAATAATTTTCCCGAGTGGAAACTAGCCTTAATGGCAAGTGCTTTGCGAGTGCAAATTACGACAGGGCGGCGGTTATACGCGCTTACATCGATCAAAAGCACCGTTAAGAAGTCGGACTTCTATAGGCGTTTATTCGGTACCCACCATATGGAAATACATTAAGGCACTCACTAACCCAATTAAAATATTCGGAAAAAATAAATCTAGTATATAACTGTTTCGATTAATTCAAGAGCTTGACAACCAGCTTTCCCGCTTGTAATAAGAAAGGAGGAATATTTTCGTGCAAAGATTCATTGAATGCAATTTTTGTTTATAGTCTTTTGTTTAGATGAGGTTTGGAGAGCTTTCAACAACACCATTACACAAAGCAAGACAAAGTTTGCTGAGCTGGAATCAAAAATGGCTAAAGTACGTTGGTACCGTTCGATTATAAATGAAAAGCTAACCTTTCTTAGTAGTTGAATGTAAAAGGCGCGGAATAGCCTTGCCGAATTGAATGGATGCGTGGAATGAATGTGGAATGGATATGAACGCAATTATGATATCATTATAATTATATATACCCATAATTATCATCATCATTGTTATCATTATTATTATAATTGGGTTATGTCATTCGATTAATGGCAATATCATTCATTTAAAACTTCCGAAATCCAGAGCCTTTCCAAAAATGTTGGCAAGCGCGGCAGCGGGGGGGGAGAAAAAAAAAATTTTCCCGCAAATTTCCAAAAACAGGTTCAGAAAAATTTTTCGGGGCATAGACCAGTTAATTAAATAAAGGTTCAAAAAATATTTTCCTCACAAATACATGTAAACACGGGTAAAACACATTTTTTTCGGACTAATCCAGTAAAATTAAGGTCTATTTTCTATTTTTTTTCTCATACCATTATTTATATAAAAAACGTTCCAAATATTTTTTATTTAAATTGTGACCTCCCTTTTGCAAAGAAATACATGCATACAGCAACCATTCGCCTTTCTTAAATATATAAATTGCACACGAAGCATTTGATGATTAAAAAATAATGATTAATTCATATGATAACATGAAAATTTATTTGGGAAAATATTAAGAGATAATTTTTTAAGAATCATTGATTTTCAAAATGCTATTGTATAGCGGGATGTGCCAGTGGTTTTATGTTCTTTGGCTTGCAATAGGCTTCAATTTAATGTAAAAATAATGGTTCCGTAAAACGTTTCGAAACTTTGCTGCGAAGCAGGAGAAACAGAAAAACTCGTTTTGCCGACAAATATAGTTTTCTCGAAAATACAATAAAATACATTTTGTTTTATATGCATGCACCCAAACTTTTACTTTGGTCAAGACACGCTTGCTGCAGGAAAAAGACCATTATTTACACTTAATACTCACGACTCGACTTAATATTTACACTTGAGGCACGATATTTTTTTTTCAGTCTCATGTCTCTGCAGGATTTTTTTTATGCATTCAACCTCCAAGAATTTTTTTTTTCAAGACTATTTGCACCAGGCATTTTTCTTTGCACTAATTTTTTTGGGGGAATTTTCACAACCCCCCCCCCGGGATTTCTAATGGTCCGCCCCTTATTGGGGAAAAAAATCTATTAAACTTCCAAACTGGCAGATTCCTAAAGTAATATCTTTACATTTTAATGGCGTTTCGAACATTTTGTGCTTCTATCTTTCACGGTAACCGATGAAATTTTATTAATTGAATGAGTCTTTTTACATTAGAATTTGAATTTTAGTTTTTTTGTGCCCATTTCAACTATATCTATTGGGCCTACTATGGTTATATACAAGGACCATTATTTTCTCTGTCGGTTCACAAATTGAAACTAAATATCAATTAATACGTTTTTAATATGTATAGTATCTTGGAAGCTACTACATATTAATTAATTACATTAATTGTTTACATTGATCAGAAATATTCGATGCTAATACAGTTACAGTCGTGCTTTAAGTAATAGCTTTGGCCTTTGCCAGTTTTGGAACATATAAAATGTTTACGGATTCATTAGTTTTACCGCGCTATAGTGGTTATAGCTATATCCATTCTGTCAGTATAGTGCCCTATTTAATTTTGGCAATTGTTTATCATTTAGTATTTTTGTATCACTTCATGATATACGCATGTTGTTCAAAAATACCTTTATAAACGTATGACATTAATAAATGCCATTCCATAGCAAAGTCATTCCGCATGCCATTCCCCCTATGCATTCCCCCTTTTCTAAAATCTAAATCACTTTTGTATAGTACAAAGTCGTCTGAGTATAGGCCAAATTTAGTGTATTGCAATTTAATTTTCTTCAAGACACTAAAAACAAAATAATCCTTTCTTGACCTTGGGTAATTAATTCGGAACATTTGTTTTAATGTTGCATTCAAAGGTTGGTGACTACAGCTATCCTGGAAAATCATGCTTAAACATTCTTCAACGAACAAAATGGACGTCCTTGTCAAATGGGGAATATTGGATTGTCTTGGGCAGTACACCACTAAAAGTATATTGTGATATGAAAGCAGATGGGGGTATTTTACTTAGTATTTCTATAATGCTTCCAATTATATTACCATTCAATATCTACGAAGTACATTTCTAACATTTGGCAATCGTCTAAGTAGTAAAATTTCTTTCGGACACCTTAACACCGCTATAATAGAACATGCTTATATATAATCATATTCATAACCTATTGTTAGCCTATTGTCAATACTCAATAGGCTAAGAATAGGTTATGAGGCTATTGTTAACCTATTGTTAACGATGTTACCCTATTGAATTCAGGAAAGTTTGATGAAGATTTTACCCAGATGCATGCAGAGGTAGAGTTTCATCGCGTACACAAATTTCTTAAATCGTTAATATTTTGATATTTTCCTTTATTAGGATATTCAACAGTTATTCTACGAACTCGAGTCGAATATGAGCTGATAGCCGATCAGGCGCGTAGCGCCGAATCGGTAATCGCTCATATTCGACGAGAGTGAGTGGAATAACTGTTTTATTATATACACAAGGTCTGAATTCACAGACTTTGCTTTTCGGGTATTTTCAATATTTTTCTGTTTTGTTTATGTTTGTATCTTCGCTCTTTCGGCCGATTATTTTTTCAAAAATATATTTTTTAACCATTTTAAATTTTAAAAATTCATTTGCTAACCTGTAAACAATTTGTGGGAGTTTTTCATTGTGTTTTTAATCCTGAAAGGGCTATAAAAAGCGAACACTCTTGCCGTTTTCTCGTTCGCAAAACATCGGAAATTCAGTTTTAGCCGCCATTTTGTTTTTCTCTATATACTAGCAGGATATGAACTAATATCCTGGTAGTAGAGAACCAATCAGATTGCAGAATACCTCATATCCAGACCTTGTGTATATAATAATTTGTTATATTTTATATTTTATATTATATTTTTGAAATCATATTCATTATGTTAATTTAGATATTAGTCATATTTTATTAAACTAGTATAATAATTGTTTTCTTTAAATCAGTGGTGAAACGTATTTCTATCATTTTTGCAACACTCATTTTATAATAAATAGTGAAAAACTGCTGGCTGAAACATATTTATAAGAACATTACTAACATTAGTTAATACGTATTTACAAAATTAACAATGAATATCGATGTTTATGAGTGCATCTTGTAGTAAAAATATTTTCATGAGGCGAAAGACGGAATTTTCCATTCCATGAGGCGACAACCGAATAATCAAAATAGGTCTTATTCAATGTTACCATTTTTTAAAATTAAATTAAATTATATAAAACAAATACATTACCTATAAGATACAAGTAAATAGTCAAATTTAATAAACGTTTGAGTGAAGAGTTAATACAATAATAGCATTCGTTCAACTCAACATTATCGTGGAAACTAATATTTTTTAGACCCGCCATTTTAATTTAGTTCTATTGCACGATTATGAAATGGTAATTTTTGCAATAGTACGTGGCCATGTCCGCCAATTCATGAAATGACAGCAATTGAATTAGTCTCCTTCGCAGCCGCTCTTTCAGTTTGTGTTGAGGTTAATTCTCCTCACGAGAAACTCGTGGGGGGAAACCTCGACACACAGGGGTGCCGGAAGCAATATGAAGCGGCGGGGGCAGCCATTTCAAAAGGGCAATTGCTTCTCAGCCATCATTTTTTCTGGGCGGCAATATTTGTTAAAACTTTACTGTATGGATACTCGATTACTTGTGACTATTATGGGTCTGCAAACTTCGACATTAATTTTGAACAATTTTATTCGTTGATGACATTGATGATAACAATATTTAAAATCTGGTCATTTCAAACTTTCGTAATACTACGACGAACATTTGATTCAACTCGTGTCCGGTGCCCCGCGCACAGTGAATGACGCGCAAATAACACTTAATATATGTAAACAAGATGGCGCAAAATCGACCTAAGCGAACTTATACGTTTTGCCGAAGAGTACAGTGAGTACACTCCTAGGCCTTCCTCCAAATGCTCCAAAAAGTCCGCAAAGGATAATAATCTTAACAAATCCAGCCTATCCGTTTCAAGTTCATTACAGTATGTAGTTACACTGCATGACGAGATCTGCCAAGTATTTAAAAGCCATTTGACTGGGTTTCCACCTTTAGCACGTTTGAAAGCAGCGTGAAGAGAAATGATCTTTGTCTTGAATGCTTGAACTAATCGTCTGCTAAGCGTGACACCTCGTATGCCACTCTCCAAAAGGATGTTATTGACAATAATGGCTAACTAAGACGCATACGTTTGACCTTCTTGTCGCTTGTACTCTGTTGAAAATTTGTAAATCAAGAAACTGCACGGTTATATAAATCAGAAAGATACACATAAATAAACAG